AAGGAAGGAAGGAAAAGGAGGGTTTGAACAGGATGGGAAATATGAATTGCTGGTACCATGCCGGCACTCAGTGGATAATTTAGGGGAAGGGGTTGGTTTTTCAAGACAGGGTTTCTCTGTATTGCCCTAGCTGTTCTGAGACTCTCTGCAAAGACCAGGCTGGCTTCAAACTTACGGAGATCCACTTGCCTCTGCCTCCTGAGTCATGGGATTAAAGGTGTGCACCACCAAGCCTGGATTCTCACTGAATGATTTTAAACCATTAACTCCACTAATCAAGCTAAGGATTCGATTCTAGTACACATGGCCCCAGCTCTTGGGTAGCTAAGGCGAGAGGATCCCAAGTTTAAGGCCAACTGGAGGTGCTTGGCAAAATACTAACACACACATACACACACTGAGAGAGAGACAGAGACAGAGACAGACAAAGAGAGACTAAAAAAAACCCTTAGTATTAAATCAAAGTACTACCCAGTTCAAGACCTTTGACACATCTTAAGAAGAAAATACTAGTAAGGATGTCTGAAAAAGGCATAAGGAACCACACTATTAAATGATCTACATAAAAACAAAAACCCTACAATACACACAAGTCTACCTGTAACTATACATGAATAGTTTAAATTAAATGCCTTATCTGTGTTGACAATGCTCCTTCCACTAAAGATCATGTAACAAAAACACCAACACCAGGCATGAGAAGCCCTCTTCTGAATTGTTGGTCAAGGTTGTCCAAGAGGATCCCAAACATGACAGCTATTGCTCTTGCCCTCGGGTGCCTCCTAGAGGTGGAAGGTCGGTTGCTATTGCTGAAGACACCATGCGCTTCAGACACAGGGCCCAGGGGCCCCTGAGCTGGAACTGACCTGAAAGCTTCCTCCATAAGGACTAACTTTTATGGCAACAGACAACACCATTCAACCTTCCAAGGAAGAAAGCAATCAATGGTCCTACCAAGCGAAGACGCCTAGAGTCATACAGCAGCATGGCACCATGCCCCTATGGATACAGTGACGACACGCGTGCCTCGGTGGTAACCAACAGCTCTCTAGTTGGACTTAAGACCCACTCGACAAGAGGGAAAAGACACCTAGTACTGGAAAACTAGCCAACTACCTGGGGCCGGTGAAGTCACGGATCTTGGAGGAGAACCTCCAACCAACACTTTACTAAACCATAACAATCCCTAACTATATTTTCAGTGTTTGTCCTCACATCCACAGATAAATGTAGTCCTCACCTCTCATCAAGGAAACGTCCCTTTGCAACAGACAGAGACCGTTACAGAAAACCACAGCCCATCAAAATGCAGGGCTGAGGAGCCCAGTCCCAATGGATGCATCTACAAAACACTCCTACAACTAAACCTCAAGGAATGTTTGGAAGAGGGAACCAGAAGCTTGTAAGGGACAAAGATCAAGGAGCTTGCTGTGAGAGAGATTGCATCTCCCAGGAATGGCAGCCGTGACACCCCTAGAGTCTCATCAACATCTCTGCCCAAACACAAGAAGAAACAAGGCCAACAGCAACAGACACGGTGGTGGGGAGGGTGGGGGAGGGGTAAATAGGAAGAGAGGTCTCAACCCTATATGAAGGTCTCAACCCTATATGAAGGTCTCAACCCTATATGAAGAACTACATGCAACGAAGGATCGCTGGGAGTGGGAGAGACTTCGCCAGGAAAGTGCACACCAATTGGTTAGCCAAAGCCAAATAATAGGCGACATTATACAGACTAAACAGGGTGTGTGCTTGTGTGTTTAGGAACATATTTGCATGTGTATCTACATGTTGCATGTAACAACAATTAATTAATGAAAGAGGCCATGAATTTGAAAGAGCGCAAAGAGGTGCATATGGGAGGCCTTGGAGGGAGGAAAAGGCAGTTATACAATCATAACTGTGTAAATATAATTATGCAATTTTAATCTCAAAAATAAATCATAAAAAATAATAAAAATCCTTAAAGAAACAATAGTTGAGATCAAACTTTGGTACATGAATTTACACTAAAATGTTGATCTCGCCAGTTGTATTTATTTTGTCCATTGTTGTAATTAGTGAACCTGCTCTCACACTTTTTTTCACACCATTTGACTTTATTGTCAAATCAGAGGGGTAGCTTTGCGAATCACTGATGCTAAGAAATCCATCCAAACTCTGGAGGTCAAACCACTCTCCACAGTCAGTGTAGTCACTTCCCTCCCGCGTGGGAAAGCCAACTCACACCAACCTAAAGCTGGAATTTTCAGTACTAAAGTCAAAAACGAAATTGTATATGATCCTTTAATCAGAGCATTCACTGCTAAGGTGCTGGCTGTGCCTATTAGTTCCCCGCATGTTGGCCTTTGTGTGCACAGACCCATCAACAAGCTGGTCTGTGAATATTCCCAGCCAAAGTGCTTGCAAAAGCTAATGCTGGAGCTGAGCCTCTTTCTAGGTGCTGAGGACACAGCAGCCCTGTGGCTGGACCCAGGCTGACAGCAGCGTCAACCACCCAGTGTAGCGCTGGCAGAAGATACAAACTGCTCTTATATATGCAGATCTTTATTTGGCATGGGGACGGTAATCCCTGCAGAGCTGGAGACTTCAGATATCTGGGAAATTCTAAAAGGGGACCTCAGGGAGATTACATTCGACTGAGAGGAAAATGTTCATTCCAGATAAAGCTAAGACATTTCGTAGTTCAAGGAAGACAACGGGAGTCAGTTTCCTCTGTCAATCTCCTGACCTTGTGATTTCAGCCTGTAGATGGCTGACATGGAATTTTCTCCAAAGCAAGATGGTTAAGTCAAAATAATAAGACAAAGAAATGTATGTACAAGTCAACCCAAGAAAAGCAGCGTTAATACTATGACTCAACTCTCTGCTCAGCAGTCATGAGACTCTTCTGGATTATTTGCTTTCTAAAAAAGTGCTTCCTCAGATACTGAAATCGGACCCAGTCCAAGAGAAGTGAAGAATTATTGTGTGTAATATTTTTTACTGTTTTGGCTTTTTGAGGGGCCCGCCACCCAGCTCCCAAATAACTCACACACGAAAGCTTATTCTTAGTTATGGATGCCCGGCCTTAGCTTAGCTTATTTCTTGCCAGCTTTTCTTAACTTAAATTATCCCATCTACCTTTTCTCTCTGGGCATTCATCTTTCTTCTGTATATCTTACTTTCCTTCTTATGCCATGGTTGACCGGGTGGCCGGGTGGCCGGGTGGCGGGGTGGCCAGGCCCTAATGTCCTCCCCTCCTTGTTCTCTCCATGCTTCTCCTCTTCCTCGTTTCTCCTCCTATTTACCCTCTCTGCCTGTCAGCCCCACCTATCATTGCTCCTGCCTCACTATTGGCCATTCAACTCTTTATTAGACCATCAGGTGTTTTAGACAGGCAAAGAATCACATCTTCACTGAGTTAAACAAATACAGCATAAACAAAAGCCACACACCTTAAAATAATACTCTACCATGACAAATAATGCAGTATCTTTCTCATTCTTAAGAGACCCTTCCTCAGAAGAGACTGGTGTAACTCATATTTCATTTTACCTATACACACCTCTGTTTTTAAACCAGAAACATATTCTTTGGGAGAAATGGGGTAAAAACACAAAGCCTGGAAGCTTCTTGCTTTAGTCCCTCCAAAGCGGCAGTCTCCTCTCTTACTGAATTTGTTTACGTATCTTTGTGAATGTGTGATGCATGCGTTGGGGGGGTGCACTCTATCAACTCAGCCACATCCTTGACCTCATCACTAAGAGCAAAGACACAAGGTGCCTGCACGGGCAAATGCTGTGCCCTCTCAGGCTCTGAGGGCATGTCTCTGGTTTCATCTCTTTCCAGTGTTTCTCCCTCTGGGACAGCAGGGTGTTGTCAGGGTATGTTATCCGGAAAGGGGACAGAGAGCTGGAGATTGTCAGTCAGTGATAACCCAAACCAGCTGTTCCTCCTTGATCAACCCCTTACTCCCATGTACTTGCCGATGGCCACGCATACGTTATTTCAAACTCAATGCTCAGGGTGACCTTGATAGCTTAGTCAGTGAAGTGTTGGCTACATAATCACCGGGACCTGAATTCAGCAGCCAGAGCCCATGCAAAAAAGAGCTGTGCACTGTGTCACGTGCTTGCAATCCTAGTGGCTAGGCAGAGACAGTTGCATCCTTGGAGCTCACTGGCCAGCCAGCGCACTCAGGGAAGGTCCAAACCAGTGAGGGACACTGTCTCAAAAAACAAGGTAGACAATGCCTGAAGGAAGTCACCCAGTGTTGTCTTCTCACCGCCGCAAAAATGAGCATGCACATGCACACGCGTGTGCGCACACACACAGGTACCTACACACACAAGAGCATCAGCCAGGCACCTGGGGCTGTGCCACTCCTTAGACACTGTAATGTTTGGCCTTGAATTCCCTGCCTCGCTGTTTACTGTGCCTGTTTTGTCACTTTAGACATGGACAGGGTCAAACATGGTGGCTTGCTTCCATTTACCCAAGACGTCCACTGACAAGTTCAACTCAGCCAGCGGTACTTTGCTTGAGCAAATATCTATTATCGATGCTCACAACATTACTATTGTTACTATTTTGATTAGTTTTATTTTATTTTGTTTTGTTTCGTTTGGGACTAGAACCTAGGGCCACATAAATGCTGGGCAAGTGCTGGGCTTAGTACCCAACAGGGGATCCCTGAAAGGGATGCATAATTATGCCTTCGTTTCTTCCCACGTGTATTCCCTCTACACAGAACTCAAGGCTGTTCCCACCTTGCTTTAGCTGTGAAACACAGCTGCATGACGGAAGCCCTCCCTCCCCCAGCGCAGAAGCTTCCAGAGAAAGTACACAGCTAGCCCTCTCCTTTTCTCTCCACCATAATCATTTCTCTATGTTCACACAGTGGCCATTCCACGGCTTGAATTCCATAATGAGACTTCGGTAGGTCAGAGCCATGGATGTACCGTGAATGCGCAATAAAATGTTGTTGACAGAAGCTAATGAAATGTCCTAGGCCGTTTATTACTGAAGTGTCACCCAAGTTACGCTGATGGATACAAGGGGTTTTATGAGGCCTGAGGAAACATGACTGCCTTGGTCCATTCTGGGTGTCAAAGGAAAAACACCATAGAGTGGATGGATTAAATGACAGAAATCCAATGTTCACAGTCCTAGAGGCTGGGAAAAGCAAGGTCAAAATGCCTGCATATCTGGCATCTCTTGAGAATCTACTTCCTGGATTGCAGATGGTTCTTTTCTCATCACGCTGTCACACAGGGGCAGGCTGAGAGAGAGGAAGTCTCTTCTTAGAAATGTTCTCATCCCCGGGAGCTCCACCTCTCCTGAGGAGCTATTGGCAGCAACTCTCAGGGGGGGACAAAGAGTCATTTCCTCCTGGGATGTGGCCACCATGCCACATACTCTCAAAGTAACTCGAATAAATTCAGTAGATCCCAAGACAAAAGACCTGAGAGCAGAGAGGGGCTGGGGGCAGGGGAAAGCCATGAAAGTAGTTTGAACTCACATGCTATCTGGTGATCGTCTTACCTTCTGGGTTGTTGAAAGCTGTGGTTGACTAAATACATTCCAAAAAGTTTCATCTGAAGGTAGGTTGGTCACAAGGATGCTGGGACAGCCTAAGATAGATTGTAATCAGGCAACACACCAAGCTCTCTGCAATAAAAGTTCAAATCAGTTAATGGCCCTGTAGAAGGTTCCGGGTAAAACAGCTTCTTTCTAGGCACTGTCCTAAATGGGAGAACACATATAATGTATGTGTGGGTTAGGTTTCTGTTACTGTAACAAAATACCCGAGTCAATCAATTTTGAAAGAGAAAAGTTTCATGTGGGCACACCGATTCTTAGATTTCAGATGCTTGGCACCATCATTGCTTTTGGACCAGTGACAAGGTAGACCATGGTGGAAAGAAGTCTTTGGTGGAACAATGCCATTCATCAAAGGACATCCTCTCTTGGGGCACATTCCCCACTTCCTTCCACCGAACCCCGTCCTCTGACGGTTTCTCCATTTCCCAGGGGCGCCATGGGCTAGGAGACAAACCTTCAATACATGAACCTTTAGAGGATACCAATTCACAACATAGCAGCCTAGAATAATGACGAAATTTGTGGTTTCAAAGAGCTGGGGGAAGGGCTTGGTGATTACAGCACCTGCCATGCAGTCATGGAAACTGGAGTTTAGAGCCCCCACAGCCCATTTAAATGCCTACTGGCATGGCAGCATGTCTGTAACCCAGTGCTAAGAAGGTGAACACCAGGGATTCCCTAGAGCAAGCTGGCTAGCTAGCTCACTGTATCGGTGAGCTGAGTTCAACTGAGAGACCCCACCTCAATGAGTCAATGGAAAACAATCAAGGAAGACTCTGGATATCACCCACAGCCTTACACATGTGCACAAACATGCTCACACATGTGAACAGGCATGCACATACTATACACATAAGAGGAGAAGAAAGAGATGAGTAATGGCTACTCAGAGAGAAGAGAAAATGGAAACCCAAGGAGATTCTGGAAAACAGGTCATTGTTCTTTTCATGCAAACAAGCAGCAATAATCATTATGGCTTCTTAAACCTCTACTTGTGACCCCTTAGGGTCGGAGAAATTTGCATAACCTGAGTATATATAAATAGGTGTGCAAATCAAATTTACTGGCAATATACCATCAAGAAATTTCATTTTAGAACAATTCTTTCATGTACATATAATTTTACCACTTATTAACAAAAGCAAACTTGAATACTGACAGAAGTGCTTATTTGCTTTTACATAAAGAATTAAATCTTGGAGGAATATTTGATTCTGAGAGAGGGAGAGCACCTTCAGTGATTCTTCAGAGTTTGTTGGCATTATGATTTCATAGTTGCCCAAGGCTGAGAACGGTACCTCACACAAACACATAGCACAAAATGGCAGAAGTATGTTTAAGGCAACGTCAGAAACCACTGGACATTTTGTCCTAACCACAGAGCTAAATTTATTTTCTTTCTTAATGAAACTCATCGACTCAGAATTATAATTCGAACATTCTAACACAATCCAGTCCAAAGAAACAGCAAATCCGTGGTCCGTAATTAAGCCTTCAGAAAACGGGCACATGTAAGTGTGTCACTGCGTAGCATAAAGCTCTCTCACGCCTTTGCCTAGGCGCTGCAGGCAGCGTTTGTGGTGCGGCACAGCACCGTGTCCTGAGAGGTGTAAAGGACACAGAGTGTGTTGTCAGGGCAAGGTCACTGTGAAGTCCCAAGTGACGCGGGCAAGCACTGACAGGACCACCTTGAATCCACTAAGAATTCCGTCTTGGATGCCCATTTGAAAACGTTTTACTGTTTGTCACAACCTCAATTCAGTGACACGACCCCCATATGGGACCTGCACCAGTTAGAGTTTCTACTGCTGCAATGAAACACCATGACCAAAAAGCAAGTCGGGGAGGAAAGGGTTTATTTGGCTTACACCTCCATACTGCTGTTCATCACTGAAGGGAGTCAGGACAGAACTTAAGCAGGGCAGGAACCTGGAGGCAGGAGCTGATGCAGAAGCCACGGAGGGTGCTGCTTACTGGCTTGTTTCCCCTGGCTTGCTCAGCCTGCTTTCTTATAGCAGCTAGGACCACCAGCCTAGGGATGGCACCACCCACAGTGGGCTGGGCCCTCCCTCATCAATCACTAATTCAGAAAATGTCCTACAGGCTTGCCCACAGCCCAGTCTAATGGAGGCATTTTCTTAATTGAGGTTCTCTCCTCTTACATGGCATTAGCCTGTGTCAGATTGACATAAAACGATGGAGTTCAGGATCACCACCCACAACTTCAGAATCTGAGAAACAGACAACAGCAAGCACAGAGGCAGAGGGAGGTAGACACTGAGCAGCCACTAATGAGCTTGTTTTCCATCTCCACTACAAAATGTGTGGAGGAAAAAAACACCAAACAACTCAAATGGGGACCATTTATTCCTTTCACTGTTTCAGGGCGAAAGTGAGAACAGCGCAAGTCACATCACAGCATCCATGAAGCAGGGGTATGTAACGAGCATTCTTCCTGCCAGCCTGGTCCCAGAGCAGAGTCAACCCCAAATAACCCACAGAGACTCTATTGGTTACAGCGCTGAAGTTCTGTCTTAAGTATTAACCCATAACTATTAATATATATATATTTTTCTATAAGGTCTTATCTTACCGAGGATGCCAGTCTCATGCACCCTCTCTTCACAGGATCACAAGGCGACTCTCTACTCTTGACTACATTTCCCAGACTCCTCCTGGACACCTAGTCCCACCTATCCTGCTTCCCTATTGGCCAACAGTGCTTTATTTATCAACCAATAAGACAAACATATGCACAGAAGGACTTCCCCCATCAGGAGTGTGTGCCTCTTTGGCCTATCCCTCCCTCCTTATTCCATATGGGCGCCTAGCCCGTGGGATGGCACTGCCCACATCTCTCAGTTAGGCCTTCTGGGAAATGTCCTTGGAGATATGCCTTCCTAGTCCCCTAGACATTTTTCTGTGTATCAGTTGTTGATATGTGTGTGGTATCTGTGTGTGTTAGAGGTGCAGGCACAAATGTGTGTGCATATATATATGTGGAAGCCAGAGATTCATGGTGAACGTCTTCCTCCATCTCTCTCTACCTTATGTTTTTTTACAATTTATTTTTATCCATTTTTATGTGTGTGCATGCGAGCCTATGTGAGTCTATCTGTATCACATGCATGCCAGGGGCCCTTGGAAGCTGGGTTCTGGGAACTGAACCAAGTCCTCTGAAAGAGCAGTGAGTGTTCTCAACCGCTGAGGTGGTTTGAGTGAGGATGGTCTGTGGGTTCCTATGTTTGGGTAATTGGTCCCAGCTGATGGACCTGTTTGGAAAAGAATAGGCAGCAGGCATGGCGTTGCTGGAAGATGTGTGTCACTGAAGGTGAACTTTAAGGCTTCAAAAAGCTCAGTGCCATTTCCAGCAGGCTCTCCATTTCCTGCTGGTGGGTCAAGCTGTGCACTCTCAGCTGCTGTTCCGGCCTCCAACCACCATGCCCTCACTCTGCTATCATAAACCCCTACCCACCGGAGCTATAAGCCCAGCTAATCTCTTTATTTTGCAAGTTGCCATGCTCGTGGTGTTTTAATCACAGCTAACATCATTACTGAGCCGCCTCTCCGACCCTTTTCCTTGTTTTTTGAGGCACGGTTCCCCACTGAACCTCCAGCTCACCAATTTAGCTAGGATGACTGGCCAACAAGCTGCAGGAATCCTCCCCAGATATCTCTTAAGGTGAAGAGCTGGAGGCTAGCCCGGGCTACACGGTGAGATCCCCCCCCCCCCCCAAATTGATGTTTGGTGATTTTTTTTTGCCCTGCATGCTTTCCAGAGGCTTCCTCTCCCCTGGGGTGTGCAACATTCTGTGTATGGTGAGATTTAGTTCACTTATGGGGGCACTTAGGACAGCGTCTGTGTGTGGAGGTCTCAGCCATCTCTGGCTGTCATCTGTAAGTCCGGTTCCAGGGGATCTGATGCCCTCTTCTGGCCTCTGAGGGTACCAGGCACACATGCGGCGCACATACGTGCATAGAGGCAAACACTCACACGCATAAAGTCAAAATAAACCATCCTTCTTTTAAAAGCATGACTTTGGGTATAGTCAGATCTGTGAAGGATGATTTGAGAGCAAGTTTGTCTATAACTGCTAGTGCTGGCATTGGCCTTCTAAGCTCGGAGGTCTCTGGAAGAGAAAACGGATTTCATTTGCCAAAGGAAAGATTGGTAACAGCAGGTGTGGGAGGGGGGGGAGTTTCCTCACCTTATTTATTAACATTCAATGGAGTTTAGGGTGTGCATTTTTAGAAGTGCCATGTTTTCTTAAAATATTTACAAATACGATGAATCTGACTCATTTTTGTAAGACCTCTTTCTTTTCCTTAAATTTAAGTTAGAAACAAGCTTGTTTCACATGTCAATTCCAGTTCCCTTTCCCTCCCTCCTCCCCTGCCTCCCCACCGGCCCCCTATCCCATTCCCCCCCTGCTTCCATGGAGGAATCCTCAAAGTCTGGTAAGACCTCTTTCTTAAGGCAAAAATGGCATGTTGGCTGATGGTTCTGAAAATCGCTAGTCAGAAAATACCTGGGGTTGGGTCAGGGAATTACCAGCGGTGCTGAGCAAGTGTCAGTGCCCTCTGGGTACTTCCAGTGAGAACTGAGGCAGGCACCTCCACTCACTAACTTTTGCCAAACTCTGAAGAAGAGCCAGGGAGAGGTGGAGAAAGATGGATAACTGCGTGTAAACCATTCGCCGGCTTTAATCTATGGCCCACCACTCCGATTCATTCAGGCCAGAGGTTAGGGTGGAATACAACTTAAATGTTGTCATTTCATGCATCTCCTCCCGGGATTTGTCAGATCACTGGCAATGGTGTGACCAAAAGAGCGAAGAGCCATCTCAAGGGGAGGAAGGTTTTCTCTGCTCACTGCTTCTGAGGGTTCGGTCCAAAATAGCAGGAAAGGCAGCCTTGAACAGATGGGTTCATATACAGCCAGGAAAGGGGACAGGGACGGGGGAGGGGGGGTGTCAGGGGGCTGGGTGTCAAGGGGCGGGGTGTCAGGGGGCGGGGTGTCAGGGGGCGGGGTTTCAGCACTTGCCAGGCTCTCCCCCCTCCCCTCCTTTCATTCTGTCTAGGCCTCCAATCCACAGGAAGGTGCTCCCCACATTCAGGGCAGGTCTTCCCCAGACTCAGTTAATCCTCTCTGAAAATGGCTCACAGATACACCTAGCAGCCAGAGTGCCTCCATCAGTCTCTCAGGTGACTGTTGGAACCTACCCTGACCAGCATGAAGAGAAAGTAGAATACAATTCAAGGAGGCCATTTTGCTCCTGGGTCTTATTTATTGTTAGGCTTATGACAGCAGAATTGCGGCCCTGTTCTCTTGTCTTCCCTCGAAGTGATGGCAAAGATTGTCACCTGTCTGTGAGCCCTGGTAGGCTGACCAAACTTCAGGGCTGGACCCAACGTCTAGAGTTATTGGTAACATAAACTGCACTCCATGGGTCTTAAAATTAGAGGAGGAGACAGAAGACTTGAAGTTGAAGGAGTCGGGAGTGAGGATGATGGGGTGGGTCCTAGAGCAGTTGTGGGGGAGTGTCATCAAAACGTGCTGCACGAAACTCCCAAAAGAATTAATAAAACTAAATAGTCTCCAAAAGATTACTACCTGGACACTAAAGCCATTAGATGTGACATCCTGGACCAATCTTGAGGAAACTTGCATCAACTCCCGGAGGCTCCTCCTTATGCGCTAACCTACTTGAGGGTGAGCCTAGACAGCCATTTTCCTCCCAATGTGTTTTCATTGAGATTCCATTTACATTTTATAAAATACAAACATTTCCACAGATGGAGAGACTAAACACTCATCTCAATTAGGACACCAGAAATCATTATTTTAAGGGCACTTCCTTCAATGAAACACAAGGACATCTATCTCTCAATGCTGTGTGAAGTCGTAGGAACACACGTCAGAGGCTGGATGCTAATGAGGCAGGAACTGTAAATCCTACATCTTACCCCATTTATTTACTTATTTAATAATTTATTTTTTTATTTTGTGTGCAGTGGTGTTTTGCCTTCATGTATGTCTGTGTGGGGGTGCCAAATCTTCCAGAACTGGAGTTAAAGACAGCTGTGAGCTGCCATGTGGGTGCTGGGAATTGAACCTGGAACCTCTGGATGAGCAGTCAGTGCTCTTAACTGCTGAGCCATCTCTCCAGCCCATCATCACACGTCATTTACATGAACAGTTCTAGGACCAGGACTGAAGGTGCACACCTTTAATCCCAGCACCTAGGAGGCAGAGCTGGGTGAATCTCCATGAGTTCCAGGCCAGCTTGTTCTACACAGAGTGTTTGCAGGCCAGCCAAGACTACATAGTAAGACCCTGTCTTTAAAATAAACAAAACCAACCAAATAAAACCTGCTTTCTATAGTGACTCAAGTAGGAAGCACTAACTGCTGTTAATCACCATAAAGCAGAGGTTCTCAACCTCCGTAATGCTGTGACCGTTCAGTACAGCTCTTCATGCTGTGGTGACCCCAACCATAAAATTATTTTCAGTACTTTAGAACTGTAATTTTGCTAGTGTTATTAATCACAATATAAATATCTGATATGCAGGATATTTGATATGTGACTCTTGTGAAAGGACTGTTCAAGCCTTTCACAAGGTTGAAAAATGTTACCATAAAGTGACTTGCACTTTTGAATTCAAATATTTAACATTATACATTATAAATTATAAATGCTGGGGTGTTGCTGGTGTTTCAGTCCTACCTGTCCCGCTGCTGCTTTGCCCCAAATATGCAGGGAACCATGAGGTGTGGCCACCATTCCAAGATGGAGCTGGGCCCCTGCAGGGCTGGAGTAAACAACTCCATATAGGGTCATAACCCGAATCACCAGCTCGAGCATGCGCAGTGTCCTCAGCTTGCTGGGCCAATCAGGGAGCCTGAGGTGGTTGCCAGGGGTGCTCGACCAATAGGACCGTTGCATGCTTCCTCAGTTTCTATATAAGCAGCTGCAGTTCCCTGCTCGGGGTCTCTCGCTTCCTGCTCTCCCTTCAACCAAGAGGCTCCAATAAAACGCGATTTGGGAGCTCCCTGCTGGTCAGGGAGCGCGCCACACAAATAAACACACGGACACTATATTGGGCTTTTTATTGACTAGTTCTGTCTTAATTATTAAGCCTTTTCTGTTAATCTAAGTATCTCCACATGGTCATATCTTACCAGAGGAGAGTCTGGACCTGTTAGTCCTTCCTTGGCTACATGGTGTCTCCTGGCGGTCTCTCTCTGCCTATATTTCCCAGAATTCTCCTCATCTCCTAGCCCTGTCTATCTTCCTGCTTCTATTGGCCAAACAGTATTTTATTCATCAACCAATGAGAGAAACATATACAGAAGGACATCCCCCATCAAGGGGGAGGGGTTGGTGATTAATCATCCTTTATTCTATTTTCAAGTTTCCTCATACTACTGTATGAACAAGCCAATACAGCTTATCTTCTGAACTATCTCAAGTATCTAGGTTAACGGCCCAGGCTGGACTCCACACTAGCAACAGGGATCCACAGCTACAAACAGTTGTCTTTAAGTCAAAGGAAAACAGCAACACATCCAGACCACCACCACCCCCAGCTCTGAAGTTCCTTTATTTTGGTTTCAACATCTTGTAACAAGCTCTCTTTAAGTCTTGGGGGCAGTTCTAAATGATCCCCTCATTGATTTCCTGTGCTCAGGATGGGTGGAAAAGAAGTGGCTGGTGGCACTAATGACCCAAGTATGCCCAGAGTCTAAAGGACCGGAAGAAAAGCAGAGGAGCATTTGGAGGGCACCTATGACTGGGCAGCAGACACGGAACTCCACTCCTCCCTCTCTCTTCCCTAGACATACCCCCACTGCTTCTGTTGTGTATCTCCTTCGGTCTTCTGAGCCCTGGCATATCACACTGCTCATCACAAAGCCATATGCTTTGGTCTCCACCTTTGGAATCCAAGTTTCCACATAATCACTTGTTAGGAAGGTGGTCCTCTGTCTCTGGCTTCATTCTCCATGGGCCATTTGTTAGGGATGCAGAGCCATCCAACAACCAGAGGTTACAGCGAGAAATTGCCGTGCCGCTTTCCAACTTGATGAGAAAGGCCTTCAAGGCAAACAAACCTTTTTTTTTTTTTTTTAAACCAAGACCAGAAGTGAACAGGCTTTTTTTTTTTTTCATAAGAGGGGAGAAGAGTTTCGTAAGCTCAACCTCATAAGCAATCAGGCAAATGTAAGTGCAGGCCATTTCACACCTCATCAGATTAGGAACTGTGTCTTCTGCCAACACGCAATATGGATGAGGTTGTAAAACTATAGGATTTCTCACACAACTCGGTGCTGGGTGGGAAGGGGTGGACTGAAAGAGTAAAGCCTGTTGGAAAACAACTTGCATTACGTGGTAGAGCCGTATGCCTACTCAATCCGAGGTGTCTGTTTTTAAGAGGTATGTATAGACACACACACACACACACACACACACACACACACACACTGTGTGTGTTAGGTGATCTTAAATTACTGTTAATTTTATTAAGTGTGATAATTCTGAAGTATTTAAAACTGAAATGTCTTCAAGATGTTCACAAGTTTAAACTGAGTTGATAAAAACTAGAAAAGCGGAGGAAAGAGAGAGAGTGAAAATGTTTTTAAAGGGAGTGGGAAGGCTCTGGGGACAGAGTCCAAAAATGTGAATCATGGATCTGTCCATCACTGATTGTGACCTGAGAGATTGCTTCAGTCCTCTCTCACTGTCTAACCATCTCTACAATGGAAGCAACTGTTGCTTGACTTCTTTTGGGACTGACAGCTCACAAAAAATGGCACGGAGACTTCTTATTAATTATGAAAGCTTGGCCTTTAGCTTAGGCTGTTTCCGGATAGCTCTTTTTAGTTGGTTGTTTAGTGAGTTGGTTGGTTTTTCCAGTCCTGGCTGTCCTGGAACCCACTTTGTAGACTAAGCTGGTCTCAAACTCACAGAGATCCTCCCGCCTCTACCCCACAAATTCTGGGATTAAAGGCATGCACCACCACCACCCAGCCCAACTAGCTCTTGTAACTTAATTAACCCGTATTTTCTAATCTGTGTCCTGCCACTTGGCTCTTCACCTTTCCTCGGTACAGCCTGTCAGACTCACTCCAAGTCAGCTGGCAAATTCCTTTAGCCCACATCCCTCCTTCCAGTTCCTTTCTCTCTGCCCGGAAGTCCCACCTATCCTCTCTTACCTAGCTATTGGCCATTCAGCTTTCTATTAAGCCAATCAGAAGGTACCTTGGGCAGAGACACATCTTCACAGTGTACTAAAAGACTGTCTCACAACAAGCAACAGTGATCAACACTTAAGAAAGGAGGTCATTAAGCAAAGCAACTCAAGTAAGCAGTTGCTCTTTTGTTACAGGATTGTACTGAACTGCGTAGCTCCGTTGGCTCCACTTTGCAGAGGATGTCTACTGAAACTAAAGGGGAATCCACTCCTTGGGGCCAGTAACCAGCTGCTGATGGTGGCAGCAGAAAGCACAGAGCTATGTACAACAACAACAGATTTGCAACACCAGGACACCCAAGACAGGAAAATAGTATAGCTATACTATGCATTGACAGGAAGACTACTAAACATTAAATTAAGGGGGGCTGAGTATGGGGCGTGAAGGAAGCCCTGAGTATATGAAGTTCTGAGTGACTGTGTATTATCAACATGGACACAGCAATGTCAAGGACCCTAACCTCAAACTCATGGAGGAATGACAAAACCTCCCCTATCCCTGGGGATAGGAGGGATGTGAGGCTCTAAGAAACCCTGCCTCCTTGTTGAGCTGTATGTCTCTGGGCTGAACTCTATGTAATAAACATGTTGAGCTTCTGGGATGCTGTAGCTTCTCCTTCCAAGAGCCCAGACTACCCAACCCCAGCTTTTCTATGCATCCATGTTTTTTTTCTTCATTCCCTTGCCATCCCAATCAGGTCTAAGTCCTGAAGGCCAAGTAGGGACTGTGCAGGTGGGGGCACATCTCATTCCATAGACTGCTTGCTTGGCAAGCACAAAGACCTGAGTTCAATCCCTGAATATTTTTATATAGGGCAGGCACATGCTTGTAATCTCAGTGACAGGAAGGCAGGATAAGCGGGCCAGCCTAACCTACTTGGCAAGGTCAAGGCAGTGAGAAACCCCATCTCAAAAAACAAGGCAGATGGCATGTGAGGAGCATCACTTGACATTGTCTCCACATGCACGGTCGTGTGTGTGTGTGTGTGTGTGTGTGTGTGTGTGTGAGTGTGTGTGTGTGTTTATGCACGAGCACAAAATAAGCTAAAGTCTTTTATTGTACCCTGAAGGATATTAGCTGCTCCAGCAACAAAAGAACTGATTCAGTCACTAAAATTACCATGAAGATGAATCAAAAAGGGCTTTTATTTAAAACCATATTGTCCCTCTTCACAGCACTTCTGGTTAGAGTAAGAAATCACTGTCTAAATGTTTAACAGGTGAATAAACCAAAGAAATGGCACCTATAAAACAAAGAAATGTCCCGACAATGATTGAATCTGCAACTATCAGCAGTGACTTAAAATGGATATTTAGTGATTGGGTAAAATGCTCACAATATAATGTTAAATTTAAAATGGGGATCTGGGGCTGGAGAGATGACTCAGCAGGCAAGAGTGCCTGCCTCCAGGTCCAAAGACCTGAGTTTGATCCCAAAGTCCTACCCAGTGTTAGAACTGACTCCTGAGAGTTGTCCCCTGACCTCCACTGAAGCACACACAAACAAACCACACTTGTACACAATAAAACACACAATAAAAACGTAAAGGACTGTTATTCTCTTTGTTTCTATTTCATGTTTGGTTTTTGTTGTTGTTGTTGTTGTTATTGTTTTGTTGTTTGGTTTGGTTTTTAAAGACAGAGCTTTCCATGGTGGCCCTGGCTGTCCCAGAACTAGCTCCTTTGACCAGGCTGGTCTTCAACTCAAAAATCCTCCTGCCTCTGCCTCCCCAATGCCAGGACTAAAAGCGGGCACCATCACACCCGGCAACAAAGATGTTTTTAGGTTGCAGCTTTTAAACTTAAAATTGTGAAAATCTTTCCACTCCTGGGTGGAAGACTTTACATGAGCATGATGAGAAGTGTCAAGGGAGTTCACACCAACCTTGTTTGTGCTGCAGAAAAAAAGTCAAAACAAACAGCATCCATCAGGAGAAACTTGGATGTCTAGACAGCAGACTTGCCAGCAGACACTGAATAGAAGGAAATCGTTACCGTAACCAATTCGAATATAGCTAGTGGAGTATAACTTCACTATGATAGCATTTATATAAAACTTGGATGTCTAGACAGCAGACTTGCCAGCAGACACTGAATAGAAGGAAATCGTTACCGTAACCAATTCGAATATAGCTAGTGGAGTATAACTTCACTATGATAGCATTTATATAAAAGCTTGGAAGCATTCAAATCATACATGATGTATGTTTTGTGTGTTCATACATAAGCAATGTTTTGTTTTGTTTTCTGGATTTTCCAAGAAAGGATTTCTCTGTGTAGCAGCCCTGGTTGGCCTTGAACTCACAGAGATCTGTCTGCTTCTGCCTCCTGAGTACTGAGATTAAAGACATGTACTACCACGGCAAGCTTAGCAGTAATTTTTTTAAAAGACATTTTGTGTTTAATTATATATCCAGCAGAAGCCAGAATAGGGCATAGCGTCTCCTACGAGTTTAAGTCACGTTGGTTATGGGAGACTCTATGAGGTACTATAAACGCAACTCAAGTCCTCTGGGAAAGTAAACCGGAAGTGCTCTAAACCACTGAGCCCTCTCTAGACCGGAAGTGCTCTGA